AATTGTTTATTTTTTTTTTTTTTTTTTTTTTGTATATGCTTAGGCGATGTGGCTTTGGGGATAAGTAGTGTAAGTTGATTTAGTTTCGTATCTCTAATATTTCATTTTCAGTTTTGGTCAATGGCACCCCAAAGGTTATTTTCGAAGCAGTAGAGGTTTGAGGCAAGAGGACCCATTGTCTCCATTGCTGTTTGTTATTGTAATAGATGCATTCAGTAGAATGTTCGAGAAAGCTGTGGGGAAAGGTTTGATAAGGGGCTTTTGGTTGGTCACTTACAGGTTTCCCATTTGCTATTTGTAGATGATACTTGGATTCTATACGATACAGATAATGAGCAATTCAGTAACTTATATAGATTGCTGCTATGCTTTGAAGCGATGTCGGGATTAAAGATAAATTTGGGAAAATCTGAGGCTATTCCAGTGGAAGAGGTCGCTAATATGGAGGAGCTGGCAGATATATTGGGTTGTAGGGTAGCGCAGTGCCTATGTCATATTTTAGGCTCCCTTTAGGGGCTAGATTTAAAAGGAAACATATTTGGAATGTAATTGTTGAAATGATGGAGAAGCAGTTCGCAGGTTGACAACGTATGTACCTTTCGAAGGGAGATGCCTTACTCATTAAATCTACTCTCCCTAATCTCCCTATTTATTTTTTGTCATTGTTCCCAATTCCTGTTACAGTGGCAAATAAATTAGAGAGGATTCAAAGGGAATTTCTTTGGGGTTGGATTAAGAGAAAACAGAGAATCTCATTTAGTTATTTGGGGTGTTGTATGCTCTCCTATAAGGATGGAGGGCCTTGGATTGATGAGCCTTGTTCTGTTTAATAAGGTTTTATTGGGCAAGTGGCTCTGACAATTTGGAATGGAAAGGGAGAGTTTTTGGAGAGAAATCATAATAGTGAAGTATGGCGTGATGGAAGGGGGTCAGTGCTCGGTCGAGAGTCATGGATCTTATGTGGTGAGTTTGTGGAGGTATATCAAACAAGGATGGAGCGAGTTTCGAGACAATTTGACTTATGTAGTGGGGAATGGTAATAATATTAGACTTTCGGATGACTGTTGGTGTTGATATCAACCGTTAATGGTGTGGTTTCCTTTTTTGCGCCGCATTGCTTTGGAGCCCTCTGCTATGGTGATGATGTATTAGCCATATACAATGGAAGCTACAGTTAGAATATTATGTTTGAAAGAGGTCTACAGGATTGGAAGTGAATGATTATGCGTTGTTTTTTTACCTCCTTGCACGAGGCACACATTCATACAGGAGAGGGTGATCGTAGTAGGTGAAGGTTCACACATGATTATATTTTTAGTTGACACATATTTTACTTCCATGTTGGACCTTGTGGAGAGCTCACTTCCTGGAAAAAGGTGTGAAAATGTAAACTGTCTCCACGGGTGGCATTTCTATAGTGAACAGTGGTAAGGGGATAGGCAGTAACGTAGGATAACCTTCAAAGAAAAGGTTTTTATGTTACCGAGTGTTGTTATATGTGTAAGAGATGAGGAGACAATTAACCACTTGTTCATTCATTGTGATGGGGTTCCATGTCTGTGGAACGGTATTTTAGCCTCTTAACATTTAGATTGGGTGTTACCTAGGCGTATAGAGCATGTGTTGCATGCATGGAGAAGAAAATTTCGTAATAAGGCTAGAAGGATTTTATGAAATCTGATTCCGGGATGCATTGTTTGGTATGTGTGGAGAGAAATGAACAACCGCTGTTTTGAAGACCAAACACGAACAACAGAGCGGATCAGAAAATTATTTTATTTAACTTTGTATACTTAGTTTATTACTGCAGCTACTAATCATATAGAATGACTGCTTAACTTCGTGTCGTTTCTTTCTTGTATGAGTTGATAATACATTTCTCGTGTAGTATCCATTAATAAAATTATACATTTACCTTTAAAAAAAAAAAAAAAGAAGCTCAGTCGAGACAAATAAAAAACTTTTGTGCAATAAATGTCATATCAAAAAGTCTAGAGGGAAAAGTGAGCCAGTAATGCCTTTTCCAATAAAACTATAATAAAATAAATTCAACAACTCAATGACTCAGAATTTGAAGAACATAAATTAATTATGAATCTCATGGAACCCATTCTTACACAGATACAGTTATACCTTCTATTTTGGCATAACATTAACTCAAATATAGAAGACTGCACTAGTTTTTGATTGCTTAATAACATTCAAGTTGCCCCATGCCCATGTAACAAAAGATGAGGAAACAATTAACCACTTGTTCATTCATTGTGATGGGGTTCCATGTCTGTGGAACGGTATTTTAGCCTCTTAACATTTAGATTGGGTGTTACCTAGGCGTATAGAGCATGTGTTGCATGCATGGAGAAGAAAATTTCGTAATAAGGCTAGAAGGATTTTATGAAATCTGATTCCGGGATGCATTGTTTGGTATGTGTGGAGAGAAATGAACAACCGCTGTTTTGAAGACCAAACACGAACAACAGAGCGGATCAGAAAATTATTTTATTTAACTTTGTATACTTAGTTTATTACTGCAGCTACTAATCATATAGAATGACTGCTTAACTTCGTGTCGTTTCTTTCTTGTATGAGTTGATAATACATTTCTCGTGTAGTATCCATTAATAAAATTATACATTTACCTTTAAAAAAAAAAAAAAAGAAGCTCAGTCGAGACAAATAAAAAACTTTTGTGCAATAAATGTCATATCAAAAAGTCTAGAGGGAAAAGTGAGCCAGTAATGCCTTTTCCAATAAAACTATAATAAAATAAATTCAACAACTCAATGACTCAGAATTTGAAGAACATAAATTAATTATGAATCTCATGGAACCCATTCTTACACAGTTACAGTTATACCTTCTATTTTGGCATAACATTAACTCAAATATAGAAGACTGCACTAGTTTTTGATTGCTTAGTAACATTCAAGTTGCCCCATGCCCATGTAACGAGATTATTAATAGAATCGTCAGTTTGTGTAGGCGATAGAGTAAATATAAACATTTAGGGAAATGTATAAAAATTAAGATGTTAATTATTTGTAAGGGAGTCATAGCAAAGAGTTGCATATATAAACTGTTCAATGGATTGCAGTTAGGCAAGCATCCTACTAGGATCATTTAAACGAGTATAGATCTAATGATATACATATTACTCAAATCTGCCTCAAACGAGTATCTAGAGTCATGGATAACAAATAAAAGAGCGCCTAAATCCCTTTGAGCTGCCAAAGTCCAAATCTGGAAGATAATATTAGATAGAGTGTAACGACTCGAGTTAATGTGCCTAAGCTACTATGTCCCCTTTGAAAGAGCATTTATCCTTTTACCCCTCACGGCTTTATGTCACGTCTTCCAAAATTCGAATCCAAGACCTCTGTATTATGAGAGACTTAAGTTGAATCCTGATACCAATTGGATATTTGTGTCAAGATGTATATCATACGTACTACTTAATTTATGAGAGCATCTTTCCTCTTACCCCTCACGGGGATTCAACTCAAGTCTCTCAAGGCATAGATCTTGGCTCAAATCTTAAGAGACGCAAAACATAATCATAAGGGGTAGGATTCAACTTAAGTCTCTCATAAGGCAAATGTCCTGGATTCAAATTTTGAGAAACACAACCGAAAGTTGTGAGACGTAATAGGACGTGTTCTTTCAAAGCGAATAGTATCATATAACGGCTTAGACACAGAGGTTTGAATTGATGGGTAAGAGGCCAGATGCTCTTCAAAATAAACAGTACATATGATATAACAGCTTGGACATAAAGAATTGGGTTGTTACATAGAATAGCAATAATCTTTGAAGCCTAAACAGAGGTTGACAGTTCAACAATTCTACATGCGCGCAGAACCCATATAGTGCAGAAATCCCAATTTTCAAGCACATTTAATCAAGAGTTGATCCAAGCCAGTCCCCAAAACCCAACTATATTTAAGTTGCTAAGTTGCAGGACTATGCATCCAGACAAGTGTCCAGTATCATCATTTACCCAACCATTAATGATTATGAATATCCTTCTCCTTTTCCTTTCCGCTTTCTCATGATTTTTCTGTGCGCCAAAATCTCACTTTGTCAGATCACAGAGGCATATTATATCAAGCTCCTGATCTTCCATGCTTCAATGAAAAATTTAAATATTTAGTAGATTGAACCTCTTAACTGCTCTTAGTTGTTTTCCTTCAAGTTATTTACTTCATTCCACCTTGTAGTGAATACTTATCTTCTTTTTTATTATTAACGGAAATTACTTATTTTATTCTGTTCAATGCTTACAAGTTTACTTCAGATTAAGTGCCATCAGTTTATGACCACCAATATACGAGAAGAATGTGAGGATAGTACACTTCAGTAGTTCTTTAGAAAATTTTGGGTGGAATAACAAGCAATGTTTATTCAACTGTTTGGGGTAGTTATGATTAATAAAAAGACATTGTGTGATATTGGGTTGGATATGCGAGTGCCACAAAATTAGACTCTGAATCTAGTCCATGCAAATCGATTTGACTCACACTCCAAATCTGGTCATCTAAGTGATATACATGCATCTCCAACTCGGTATTCATAATCAGGCTCCATATAAGTTGTTCATTCAGTTAGCCAGTGCACCCATTCCAGCAAATTAATTTGGTGTGCATTACAGATTGAGCAACAAAATGAATCTGTCAATAGTTTCTTTGGAAAATTGGAGGATGTAGGTGAAATAATCTAATAAAAAATGAATCCTTTAAAGATACAAGACAAGTCTTGTATGACAATCAAACCTTTTAAGAGCAATAAAATTAACCTTCAAAGATTCTCCCACCTTCCACTTCCCCATGTCAAATAAAACACGAGTGCATGCACATGCAGAATAAAGCATGATAGAAGAGAGAAGGAAGTTCATGAAAGAGTTGCAAGTAAGTCATGAAGCAGCCTTAGACAATGTAAATACAAAGTTCAAGACAGAAATCGTCATCTAATAATAGAAAGGTGCCTCCCTCATGGACAAGGGTCTGCATTTTAATTATCTTATTCCTGTCAGGCCATGAAGACCATATAGATATCAAGTGGGAGTTTAGGTCATCTTAGATGAAAAGGCAAGTAGATAGGTTCCTAAGAGGGAAAAAAAGAATTGTATGACGATCAAAACTTCTAAGAGTAGTTAGAACAACCTTCAAAGAATCCCCACCATCCACCACCCCACATCAAATAAAACATGACTGCATGATCTTGCACAATAAAGCACAAAAGAAGAGATAAGGAAGTTCATCAGCCATACGTTTGCAAGTATATCATGAAGCAGCCTTAGATGATGTAAATACAAAGTTCAAGATAACAATCGTCGTCTAATTTTAGAAAGGTGCCCCCCTCATGGGAAAGGGTCTACATTTTAATTATCTTATTCCCGTCAGGACATGAAGACAACAGAGATATCGAGTGCATAAGTTTAGGCCAACTTCAACGAAGAGCCAAATAGATAGGCCCTTAAATGGTAAATAATTGCCTATCAATGGTACACAGAAGTATAAATAGACTGAGCTAGAGCAATTTGTAGAAGACTTACCGATAGCCATATTTAGTTCGTTTAGCATCACGCTTGGGGTTCAAGATAAAGATGTTATACACATCTTCCAACTGTAAATACTCCACTAAGCTGGTGAAGAGGACATCTATCATATCAATATCAACTTGCCAAAGCCCTGTTTCATCATCCCTTTCAAGAGAAGCAGATGGACATGACATAAAAGGAGCACAAGAAAATGAAATTTGCCAAAAGAAAATATCATGGAAGTAACCAAGATGATTGATCAATATACCTGGTATTGGACACATCATCCCTGCGCCCAAGGAGATCAATAGCACGCTCAAATATAGAAGTGACTTTTTCACCCATTTGAATAGCATGAACAGAGAAACTAGAAGAGAATTCAACAAATCACAATAAATAAGTGACATATCAATTATTGAAGTAGACAAACAACCCGACATTAACATCAAAATGAAAAATTAAGCAATGGGATAGTACTTGTAACTGATGTGACTGATTAGGGGAAGATGGTGACGTTGTTCTCTATTTATGCTAATCTTGTAAAATGGCGTTAGGACTTCTCCAATTTGCGGAATCCTTGTATGTTCAAATATGTGATCAATTTTAGAGAACCAACGCTCTAATTCTTCAGCATTTAGCTTAAATTCTGAAAAGGAGAAAAAAACGGAGCTATAATTAAACCACGTAATGCATTGCAAAGTACAGGGGCAAAGTTGACCCCATTTAAGTTTTAAAAAGTGTTGTCACGTACCTTGGTTCCCCTTTCCTTCAAATCCAATAAAAATGAAATTTACAGGGACTGGTAGGTACATGGAGTCAACTTCCAAAAGCTTTAAATAATTTGCAACATTACCTGAGATTTAAGGAAAAACAAACCTTTCAATTTCTAAGAAATTGCAATATCGCCTAGATTTCAAGAGAAATAATGCTTACAATGCGAATAAAGGGGGGTTTTGATTATGATGTGAGCTTGTCAAATTTATTAACAAAATAAATGGGAAAACCTCATGGGTAATTAAATCTGTTGAACTTGTGCTTCATTGATACAACAAAATCACAGTGAAAAGAAGGTTCCACTGATCTTCTCAGAATGCATTAATTTGCAAGTTGCATGTAGATTGTCAGTTATGCAAGAAGAAGCAACTAACAAACAAAAGCCGAAGAATACTATCTAGGACACAATCCACTAGAATCCTTTTTATATCAGACATGCAAGAATTTGAACTTTGCCTGCTATCCACATCAAAAGAACTTTTCCACTACTGCTTGGATGCAGTATGCTCAGCATGCTGCATACCTTGTATAGGCATTCTTCTTTCGAGGATGTTTATTGCACAAACTAACAGCAAACTTATCCATTTCCACAATTAAAAATCGTAATATGTTAGGATAGGATGTAAGAAGTAGGAGTTCTATTTTTTGAACCTATAGGCTTCTTTACTCTCATTAAATTTTTGTGGAGAAGTTTCAATAAAATGATTATGGCTAAATTTTTTTTTTTTAATAGGTAATCAAATAATTTTATTAATCAAAACAGAATACACGAGAAGTATATTATTAGTTTAAAAAAGAAAGAAATAGCATAAAATTAGGCGGCATGTCTACAGGATTAGTAGCCAAAGCATTAAATCAGGTATGCAAAGTCAAACAAAATAGTTCTGTGATCTACTTTGTCGTCCGTGTTTGGTCTTCAAAACAGTGATTATTCATTTCTCTTCACACATGCCTACAATGCATCCCAAGATAAGATCTCATACAAGCCTACTATCTTTATCACAAAGTTTTCTCCTCCGTACCTACAACACATCCTTTATATGCCTAGACAACACCCAATCCCTATATTGAAAAGCCAGAATACTGTCTCACAGTCAATGAACACCACCACAATGAATGAACAAGTGGTCAATTGACACCGATCCCTCTTACAAATATAACAACATTTGGTTATATAACAACCTTTTCTTCGAAGATTATCCACCATTAACATCTGCCCCTCACAATCGTCCATAATAATAATGCCACCCGTGTAGGCAATTTACATTGTCACCCATCTTCCAGAAGAATGAACTCTTAAAATAAGTGAAAACTGTAAAAATACCATCTAGTGCCAACCTCCACCTATTATGATCACCCTCTCTTATCCGGATTTGCACCTCATGCAAGGAGATCAAAAACAACACATAATTATCCAATTCCCAATCCTGTAAACCCCCCCAAAAAAATATTCCAACTAAAACTCTCATTGTTGACGGCTAATACATCATCCACCGTAGTAGAAGGCACCAAAGCAATGTAATGCAAGGAAGGAAACCCTACCTTTAGCGGATGATATCCGCACCAACAATCATCCCAAAATCTAATATTACTACAATTCCCCATGCAAGAAGTCAAACTATCCCAAAAGTCATCCTTATTGGATGTACCTCCACAAACTCACCCGATAAGAACCGCAAACCTCGATCGAGCACCAGCCTCCCTCTATTAAGCCATACTTCGCCCCTATGATTTCTTTCTAAAAACTCTTCCTCTCCACTACAAATCGCCACAGCCACTTGCTCAATAAGGCCTTATTAAACAAAACAAGGCTCATCAATCCAACGTCTCCCATCCTTATTAAAAAGCAAACAACACCCCAATTAACCAAATAAAATTTCCTCTCCTCTCCCTAGCCATGCCCAAGGAAATTCCCTTTGAATCCTCTCTAATATATTTGCCACTACAACAAGAATATGAAACAATAACAAGAAATAAGTAGGGAGATTAGAGAGAGTGGATTTAATGAGAATAAGACGCCCTCCTTTTGAAAGGTACATACGCTTCCACCCCCACTAACCTCCTCCCTACCATTTCCACAATACCATTCCAAATATATATACTTTTAAACCGTGCCCCCCTAAAGAGAGCCGTAGATATGACATAGGCAACTGCACAATCCTACAACTTAATAATTACTGCTAAATTATTGTTACTAACAGCAAAATTCAGCTAACAAAGCAATCATCTTGCTACGGCCTTAGTTCATTTGAGAATAGGAGTTCTGTCCTAATTTTGAAGGATCAAATTTTGACTAGTGTTTGATGTACCTCAAGCTTCGTCCATCAAATTAAAAAAACAAGCAAAGCAACAAAACCTTTAAGCATTATCATAAGGGCTTCAAATAACGAAATAACTAACAGAATTGCATATTATCTCCCTAGTCCCTACTATATAGAAATTCAACCTATAATTTATTTATTAGTATAAGCTACAACTATTTAACTTAATAAATATGTATAAGAAAATAATTATCATAAAAAAGAAATTAACCGAAAATGGAAAAATTGATTTAACGTAACAAGCCTATAGTCATGGAGATTGTCCTGAGAGATGCATCAGGATACACAAATAAGTACCTGCCTTGGTGTAGTTGATGGCACTCATTTTGCTCGGGTTAGATGATTCCAAATCATCGAAATCTGTACAAACAAGCATTTACATTTACAACAGAACTGTTCAAGACCGAAGCCAAGCACTAAATATACAGAGAACAAAAATGGAATAACTGCCTGTAAAAAACATACCAGGGCGTATAACGGATTCACTCCAGAATCGACTCTTCTCCTTCAGGTTAAACAATGAAAACACGGATGATTTCCCGCTTTTACGATTCCCAAACGGAGACCCATTTGACCTATCTCCTAATAACTGATACATAACGTCATACAAATATCAATTAGTATATCCCCCTCTCCTCCAACCATTAATTTTTCCTCATTTGTTTATTCAATCTTCCAAAGCGTGCATAAAATTAAACATTACAACATAAACAAAATAGTAAAAAAAAAAATAGAGAGAGAGAATGAAAATTCAATTCACGCAAATGAATATTTCAGCGCATTAAAACCAGTTAAAGTATAAAAAAAAAAAAAAATGCTAACTTACAAGGAGGAAAATGAAAATTAGGGAGAAAAAAGGAGCAGCGCGAGGATTAACCATTGAAGCAGATCTCTCCACTTTCGATTTTGATATCTTTGAATTTTGGTCGAAATTTTGATTTATTCAATTAGAGAATGGATCTGTCGAAACCCAAACTTCAACGTATGGGGTTTTACACAGTGCGATCAGTGACGGGAGCGAGAAAAACATGGGAAAGACTCGAGTGACAGGACATTACGTTTTCTACAGGTGTTGGCCACTCGCAATCCGGTCCGGTTATAAAAAGAACTTTTCATTGGACCCAAAAAATTTATCCATTTTTTAACCCACTTCAGTCAAAAAATGGTATTTCTCACTTTAAGAAATTTGTGCCAAAAAACTTTTAATCTTAAGTAAAATAAAAGAATTGAACCAAGAAATCAATAATTTGTTTTGAGCATAGGTTTTCTTCCAAAAGAATATTAAAATTTTACTATTAGTAGCCACAAGTCAATTATTATGATTTTCTCTTTTACTGAGTCAATATTTCGGTTTAGGGTTAATTGCATGAAAGGTGCTCAATATTTACAAATTGTTGCATTTATAACCTTAATCTTTTTGTTGCACTTCTATCATCAACTTTCCATTAATGAGCATCTCTTGTTCTTGATTACATTAAACATAATACTACGAACAACTTGAGGACCAAGTTGAAATTCTTTAAATTCTTGAGGGGCTAAAATATTTTTTTGGAAGTAATATGTAATCAAATGGATGTTGAACTTAAGTGTCGCTGATGAGAATATGAGCCACTTGAGAATTGGAGAACTATATGGGACTTAATTGCCATATTTGGAAAAGCTATAGGCAAAATCGTAATTTAAAAAAGTTTTATATTTAGCCCCCCTTTGGCCCCCTTTAAAACTCATCAATTTAATTTAAATTTTTTTCTTTCCTATTTTCAATCACACAATCTTAATAAAATAATATTTAATGCAAATCGAAAATTTTTCATTCTTTTACAACCATCCATTTAAAAAAAAAACACTATTTCTCCCATTATAAATCCAAATAATGAGGGCCAAACGGAGGCTTATCACTTTCAAATTTGAGGTATCATTTTGATGATGGTCATATGATGAAGTTTGAAGTTTAGAGGCATTGATGCAATTTTGATAAGAATGAGGATCAATTGTAATTGCAAACTTAGTGATTAAAGTGATATTTAGAGGAAATATTACGATTATTTTCAAGCAAATTAACATTTATGAGGTCGAAATTACATAGAAAGAATATATTTGGTTCAGTTTAAGAAATTTTGGAGATCGTTTACATTTTTTTCAGAAATTTAGACCTTGTATGATACATTCTGAGTCTTCTTCAGTAAAAGTGGAATAAATATTGCTTTCTATGTAAAATTATTATAACTAGTTGTGAATTATGTGGGTGAACATGGTGCAAAATAATATTTTGAATATTAGGATTCTTTGTTTATTTTTTTCAGCTACATGATAAAATCAAAATTTATTTACTTATCGAAGCAAAATAAAAATTATTTCGTGTTCTTATTTTAGTTCTTATGAAAGCATTGAGTTTTATTGTGTGACGCTCGAATGGTCAAAGATTCGGACCGTCACAATTGGTATCAGAGCTAAGAGTTTTTAAATCGATCCTGTAAACTTAACATATATTTTCAAAATATTGAGCTTTACGAATTTTCTGTTTAAAAAAAATTAATGTTCATATGAATAGTAAAATGCAGTCACTATTCATGTGAATAGTGACACAGTTAAAAAAAATTACAAATTTTTCTTTTCCATTAATTGATTGTCCCATTTTTTATAGAATATGTGTATTTGAGCTTTAATTTAATATGATATTGGTTTTTTTTAAGAGTGTATTTTAGAATAGGCTTATTTAATTGGACTTTATTATTTAAAGAGCCTAATACTATCTAAAGAATCGGTTTGGATCCGATAATTAAGATGATATTTTTTTTTTGAAAATCAGTTGATATTTAAAATGAGAATTTAAGTTGTTCTAAGTCACTAGCCACTATGTCATCCTCCATGTCTCGACTTCCTTGAACCAGGTATGTACGCACTTTAAGTATTCATGTCATCTCACTTATGAAAGCATGCTAATTACGTAAAATAGCAACCGTGAATATCATGACAAAATATGAACATAGTTGCGATTTCATTTTGGTTTATTATGCATCAAAGTCAATAATAATGTGAAATTTTGTATGTTATAGGTGTTTACTGTTATGTCATTGATAGAAGATATCAATCTTAGATTTTACACTAATGTAGAAACCATGAGATATATAGATGGTAGCTATGTGATTTTAATACATGTTAAATTTACTGGGAATGACTCAACTAGAGATTAAGTTTGCAATAATATATAATCACACATTACATGAATAAGATTAATAATTAATTCACGTACGATAATTTATCCCTTTATCACTACTTTTGTAAAAATAAGGGAAAAACTATGGATGGTTATTCATACGTTCTCTTAAAAGTTTCAACTTTTGGTACAATAATTCATCCCTTTATCACTACCTTTGTAAAAACAAGGGAAAACTGTAGGTGGTTATTAGTACGTTCTCTTAAAAGTTTCAACTTCTGGTACAATAATTGATTCTTTTATCACTACCTTCGTGTTAAAAAAATGATGACGATAATATTAATAATAATAGTAATAGTAAAAAATTTGAAAAGTTCTTTTGAAAAGAAAAGTAATTACGTTCCTTTCTTTCTATAGATAGTGAGTGGACAATTTTCAAACTAGTCGAACTGAGAGACCCAATCATTTTACTTGGTTGCATAGGAATTACAAGAGAAACCTAAACCACAGTTTGATACAACACTTAGATGACATGGAAAAGATTTACCAACAAGTAAGGGCGAATGGATATCACTTTAATAGGGATGAGATCGTGCATCACCTTGACCTTCTTACTGGAGGCAGTTTATCAAGGGAATCGAAGAGACCTTCGACTACTAGACCCCTCTCGATCTACTACTCCGATGCATGAGGGAAAGGTAGAGGGTGAATCAAGAAGATGTTAAGGATAACAGTAAGATGCCAAGCTATGAACCCAATTCGAGCAACGTCATAACAATACCCGAAGTTGACTACGAGAAAAATTATGTTGAAGAAGACACGAGTAAAGAATACAACCCCACGTCGTATTTCACAATTAGTTCGAAACCAAATCCTGAGGAAAAAGAAAGGAAGGCAAATCAAATGGAGGGTACTGGGAAAAACTATTAGATGATGGCTAGTTTACTTTACGTTTAAATTTACAAATTTCAGCTTGTTTGGACACTGAGTATTCTCAGTGGTTTGTTAGTTATGTGGACTTATGAATGTTTATGAATAAAACATGCTATTCATTTATGTTTCATTTCTTCAATTTGACTTAATCCTAAATAGTTACTATCATTTAATTAAGGCTAAGCCACCCCAAAGCAGAAGGACTAAAAATATCAATAAACAAAACCAAGAGTCCACACAACTTGTTCAGCCTCATCCTAGTATGATTGACCCACAGTTTGCCAAGCAGTTTCTCACTATGATGCAAACGTTTGCACAAGCTGTGAAGTCGCCACCACCTCCTCAACAGCCAACACTACCATCTTATTCTCTACCTCAACCAGAACAACAACATAAAGCTGCCCTCGAAACTATGACCACTGCTGCTGTGGTTGAGTAGTTCAGGAAATAGCATTCCCCTATCTTTCATGGTAGTATGGACCCCTTGGAAGAAGGGGACTGGTTGGTAGGTATGGAGAGGATTTTTGAACTCATTAACTGCCCAAACCCTAGAAGGGTAATAAGTGCAACCTTTATGCTACGTAAAGGTGCTAGGCGTTGGTGGGACACCACTACCAGATCAAAGGCTCCTGGTCATGTTTAGATGTGGGAAGAATTCAAGACCTTTCTGAAAAAGTACTACCTCACGAGTATCCAAAATCTGAAGGAGGCTGAGTTCCTCACATTCACTCAGAGCTCAATGACATTAATCGAGTAAAAGTAGAAGTTTGAAGAGTTGGCTCATTATGCTCCAGAGTTTGTGGACACAAAGGACAAGAAGGTAAGACGTTTTGAGTAGGGTTTGAGGGATGATTTGAAATGGACTGTCATAGTGCTTCAGCTTGAAAATTATCATGATGTATTAGTAAGGGTATAATTGACAGATTTCGTGGACCGCATTAGTAGGGAGGAAAATAGCATAATGGACAGTCAGAGAAGTGAAAGTGGGTGGATAATAAGAGCAAAGAGAAACAAGATTATGCCAAAAAGGGTAGAGGAAATTCAGCATGGCAACAAGAGTTACCCACGTTGTAGAAAATGTCAGAATCATCATCGGAAAGCTTTCCTTTTGGGGATGAATTCAAGTGTTCCAATGTGAAGGACAAGGACACATGACTCAGTATTGTCCTAAGCACGGAAGCAACCGACAGAGGCCACATGGGAACAAACAACATAGACAAGGCTATGCACCAGGAGGACACACTAGGATTTATACACTGGCAGGGCAGAATAAGGATCAAAATCAAAATATCTAGACAGGTAAAGTCCTCATATCCGACTTACTAGCCTATGTATTGATATACTCTATGTAAATTGGATGTTATGGTTGAATATACACAATTTCCTTTAGTAGTGATGATGCCTATTGGGTATATAGTTAATATTGATCACATAGTTAGAACGACGAGAATAGAAATTGATGGTAAATCATTATAGATGGAATTGTATGCATTAGATATGGACGAGTTTGATGTGATTCTTGAAGTGGATTGACTATCTAGTAATCAAGCGATAATTCGTTATTTTGAAAAGGATGTGATTTTTCAAAGAGCAGTGGAAGAGAGATTTCGATTATCTGTGGCTAGAGGTGGAACCTTAACCTGCATCTTATCTGCATGGAATGCCTGATAGGTCATACCATTATAAAACACTACGGGACTCTTGATGTCTGTAATAAGTAAAGAAGAGAACAATGGATTAACAGTTAACGAGGTTAGGATGGTGTGTGAATATCCAAAAGTCTTCCCCGAGGAGTTGCTTGGTATGCTGTCGGAACAAGAGGTAGAATTCATAATTGACCTTACTCTCGGCACAGTACCCATCTCCAAAGCCCCTATAGAATGGCACCTAAAGAATTACATGAATTGAAGGCACGGTTGGAGGAACTATTGGACAGAGGTTTCATCCGACCTAATGTATCACCATAGGGAGCACCGGT